GGCAGATGTTAGCACAGGGCTGATCTCCTCACAAAAAAAAAAAAAAAGAATACTACTTTTATTTTAAATTAACAGACAGGCAGTCAGTGTCTGTTTTGTGGGATTTACTCTAAAAGGTGCTAGGAGGATATAAATATGCATGCTGACATCTCTATTCCCTTTCCAGTGGAGGAGAAAGACCTGTAACTCTTGCAAATGAATCTGAGATCAAACATAAATTTGCTTATCCATTCATCCCATCAACAAATATTTATTAAGCTCTACTATGTGGAAGACAGAAAATACTAGAATAAAAGGCAGACTGATAATTAACTTAAAGGATGTGCAGATAAGGAGGTTTGGAAGAGACAGAAATTACAGAGAAGAGACCAGGGGAGGTTTCGTGGAGAGTGCGGCACTTGCACTGATCTCGATGACTTGGGAAGGGAAAGCACCTTAAGTAGAGGAGTCCATAAAGATACAAGGAGTTGGGACCAGGTTACAAAGGAGAACAGCAAGCAGGCCAGTTTGAATGAAAGAAATTTGAAGAAAAGAAATGGCGAATAAGGCTAGAGAGGGTTAAACTCCTTCTGGAAGACAGGGACCACGTCTGACGAGATTGCTTTATGAGGGCTCAGCATACACTTGGAGTGATGCTCAAGTCTCACAAATCACAAGAGCAGATCCATGTCAGAAAACACATCTGGGGAGGACTTGGTGGTGATGATGACAGAGATGATGATGGTTGTGGTGATCTGGTGCTAAGAGTGATGGAAGAGGAAGAGGATGCTCAGGAGAAAAGCAGATTATTGGAAAGGGAATGGAAAATCACGTTTTCCCTACACCACGTTATCGGTGAAAGTCTATCCTAATTCTACTTAAGGAATGCAGCATCAAAGATGGTATCAGGCACAGGGGAGATCACGGAATTGATAATGCAGCAGATTTAATGGTCAGATAAACTAATTAAAGAAGGCAATGCATCTAATGAGAGTGATCACGCCTCTTTCAAACAAAAGAAGACCCAATTAGGGCCGGCCCCGTGGCTTAGTGGTTAAGTGCGCGCGCTCTGCTGCTGGCGGCCCGGGTTCGGATCCCGGGCGCACACCGACACACTGCTTCTCCTGCCATGCTGAGGCCGTGTCCCACATACAGCAACTAGAAGGATGTGCAACTGTGACGTACAACTATCTACTGGGGCTTTGGGGGAAAAATAAATAAATAAAATTATTAAAAAAAAAAAAAAAAAGAAGACCCAATTAAAGACAAGTAAAACTGGTAACGAGGAAACAATCTGAGATATATAAGTAACCTGCAGAACATAGTGTCATAGGATAGAATTAACAGAATAGTATTAATTTAAGTAGAACTGTAAGATTTAAAAAGCACTTGGCACTTATATGAATAAGCAATGTTATTATCTAATATGCCCAGAGATAAGTAGCATTATCATTTGTTAATTTCATTTACGATGCTGAAATATCTATCCTATTGCTTGCCTTTATGAAGTTCAAGGAAAAGGAGAATCTTATATAGCCTTGAGTTAATTAGAAGTCACATGAATTCTATAGCCTAACATCGCTGAAATAAGAAATAGAATTGACATAATTAATCTATGATTTTGCTGCCAGAATTGTTGTTCTTTTTTCAGAATTCCCATTAATATTATTTTCAGTTGGATTTCAATGTTTATATGACAGATTCCATTTACCACCCTAAGGAGACTTCTTTAAAATAATAGCTGACTGTATAGCAACTTTTCTTTACTCATAGGCCTCTTCTTTCTTTCTCTAGAGATTTCTTTGTTTTTTGTCTTTTTTTTCCCTTTTTCTCCCCAAAGTCCCAGTAGATAGCTGTATGTCATAGTTGCACATCCTTCTAGTTGCTGTATGTGGGACATGGCCTCAGCATGGCCGGAGAAGCGGTGTGTCGGTGCGCGCCTGGGATCCGAACCCGGGCCGCCAGCAGCAGAGCGCGCGCACTTAACCGCTAAGCCACGGGGCTTTGTGATAACACACACGCCACAGTCTCCAAGCAGGATAAAAGAGGGAGGTGATGAGTTATTCTAGAACTATTCCGTGAATAGTTCTAGAAAAGAGTTACACGGGGACAGGGAGAAGAGGGAGAACGAGCCTGATGCAGAGGGGCAGGGCAGGAAGCCCAAGTACATGTGGCTTTCTGCAAACAAGCCAATTTTATTTTATTTTTTGTGAGGAAGATCAGCCCTGTGCTAACATCTGCCAATCCTCCTCTTTTTTTTTTGCTGAGGAAGACTGGCCCTGGGCTAACATCCATGCCCATCTTCCTCTACTTTATACGGGACGCTGCCACAGCATGGCCTGACAAGCGGTGTGTAGGTGCATGCCTGGGATCCGAACTGGTGAACCCGGGGCCGCTGCAGTGGAGTGCACGCACTTAACCGCTTGCGCCACCGGGCCGGCCCCGCCAATTTTCCAAAAGCAAGAATTATCTACTCTACTGATAAACTGTGGCAGTTTATTTGCTTATTTATATATTAAATTACTTTACTTAAATTATCTCCCTGCCATTCTCCTTCCTTCCAATTCACTGAATATATTCTAGCAATGGAAAATAACATTTACCTATGAAAAACATTATTCAGGACATAAATCTCCTGGGGGTTAATTATGTGACAAGTCTCAAAGCCAAACAGAAAGTTCCTTGGAGTATGCACTGACTAGGATTATCAGTTTCCCTCATCTCCCTCCATTTACTCAAATAATCAAGAATTTGAATCATAGCATTTGAGTGGTCAGGGATCAGGGAAGTCCTATACCAAAGGCATTAAATGACTTGCCAAAGTCACACACTTGTTAGGGAAAGCCAGATCCTTAGGCCAACATTCTTGTTTTTGCCCCACACCATGTCTCTGACAGCTCCAACACTGTGCCACAACACAATGGCGCTCAGTCATGATTAATCAAGCAAAACTTTATCAAGCAATGACAAACATGGAGGCAGCATTTTAGCAAAAAGAATATTGGCCTGGGCTTTCTGAGACCTTAGCTGACTCTCAGTTTTGATATTAATTAGCAGTCACAAAACCTCTCTTGGCCTTATCTTCTTCACCTACAAAATGAAGTTTAATTAGATGATCTATAAGCTTCCTTTTTATTATTTTTTATTGTGGTAAAAAACATGTAACACTGAATTTACCAACTTAACCATTTCTAGGTGTACAGTTCTGTGGTGTTAAGTATATTCACATTGTTGTGCTACCAAGCACCAGAACTTTTTCTTCTTGCAAAACTGAAACTCTGTACCAATTAAACAACAACTCCCCATTTTCTCCTTCCCCTAACCCCTGGTGACCACCATTCGACTTTCTATTTCTATGAGTTGAACTACTCTAGATACCTCATATAAGTGGAATCAGGCAATACTTGTCTTTTTGTGACTGGCTTATTTCATTTAGACTAACATCTTCAAGGTTCAGCTATGTTGTAGCATGTGTCAGAATGGCCTTCCTTTTTAAGACTGAATAATATTCCATTGTATAAATATACTACCTTTTGTTTATCCATTCATTTGTCAATGGACGCTTGGGTTGCTTCCACCTCTTGGCTATTGTGAATAATGCTGCCATGAACATAGGTATGCAAGTATCTTTGATAAGTTTCCTTTTAATGCAAAGAATTTGGTAAATTTTTTTGACTGAGTGTTAATAATCCCGCTCTACCTGAGCATATGAAATTGATTTCCAGAATAAGAAATTAACCTGGTAGTCCGTTCAATTTAACTAATATTTATATTTAAGCCTGCATATCTCCTTATTAAGGTATCTGATATTGTCTATCACTTCATGATGAAAACACCAGCCAGTTTGATCAAATCAAAATCATCATCAAGTAGCAGCTGGTAGCTGGGGAGGACACCAGGCCTCATTCAAACAGCTTCTGTGCAGCTCCACGCGGAACAAACCCAACCAACCTCCACACGGTTTGCACCCTAGTCTCTAATGACAATGAAAGAGAAAATTCTCACTGTAGATTTTTAAAAAAATTAACAGCAAGGAAAGGGAAGGGAAAACAACAGAATTCACCTTATCGTGCCGTATCATTAGTGATGTCTCAGAACCCAGAGCTGAAAGGATCCCAGCTATCTCCACAGCGATGTAACCCGCGCCAACAATGACACTGCGGCTACAAGGAGAGCAGAGGGTTAATCTCTTTAAATAAACTTATTCTGGAATAATTTTAAATTTACAGAAAACTTGAGAAGATAGTACAGAGATTTCTGGTATACCTCCTGCCCCATTCTTCCTCAAGTCATCTTACATAACCATGGTACAACTGTCAAAACTAAGGAGTTGACACTGGTACACTCTATTGACCAAACTCCAGACTGCATTCAGATTTCACCCGTTCTTCCATTCCTTTCCTTTTTCTGTTCCAAGACCCCATCCAGATACCACAGGGCAATTTTAAGTAGGAAATATCCCTTTGTGGAAGGGAAGTACATTTTTAGTTGTTTTAAAAGTTCTTCAGCTTCATTTCTTCAGAGAGAAAATAAAAAACCTTTGAAACTAGAGATGATCCCTTATGCAATGATTTTTACACCTAAAACTGAAATCGGCACTGCAATTCTCACCACCATTTTTCTTCTCTGCTCAGTATTTCTCCTTGACCATTATTCAATTCTATCCGTCTTTGCAATATGATTAAAGGCCAATTTAAGCAAGCCATTTGTAGGATAGGTCTGAATGAAAACTAGGCTCCTTGCATAAATTTTGGTCTAAGAAAGTATCTTTTTTTTTTTTTTTTGGTGAGGAAGATTAGCCCTGAGCTAACATCTGTAGCCAATCATCCTCTTTTTGCTGAGGAAGATTGGTCCTGGGCTAATATCCATGCCCATCTTCCTTTACTTTATATGGGACGCTGCCACAGCATGGCCTGACAAGTGGTGTGTTGGTCTGCACCCGGGATCTGAACCTGCAGACTCCGGGCCACCACAGTAGAGCGTGCAAGCTTAACTGCTACGCCACCAGGCTGGCCCCCTAAGAAAACACCTTAAACACTAGATAAATGCTGGATGCAGGTCTGAATCAATGGTGGAGAAGGTGATCCTGGCCCCAGCGCAATAATGTCTACTTCCACGCTGCAGCCTAGAGAATAAGTGCCCCTCAGCCCGAGTTATCCCATTCAAGGCTGGAGTTCTCTAAAGCTTCAAATACGGTCCTCTACCATTGTTCCAATGCTTGAGTAAGAAGTAAGCAATCAGGAAAGAATAAAGGAAACCATTCTTTAGTACCTTCTACAAGTAAGGTACCCGTGTTGAGTTCCTACCTTCAGAGGGCTGTGGTCTAGATGGAGGATAAAGTATGAATCCACATGGCTGCAAGTTATAGGTAAGGACCCTCTTATCCTACACCCCAGGGTATGAAAAGAGAAATGTCTACATAGTTTGGAAACTATGAAATAGCTCTTCTTCCGTCTCTATCTCCCTCTTTCCTAGTACACAGGAAAGATCCTTTTCCTTTCTTTGGGTCTTCCTTCTTTCTTTTCTTCTTTCTACGCATCTTCTCTTTCTTCCCCAAACACTTATTATTATTACTTTTGATAAGCAGTGCACTAAACAGGATGAGTAGCAGTCCCTGCCCTTGAGGAATTCCTGAGGGGAAACATGCCCTGGGTCTGTTGAAGCATGGCAGTCAACAGTGAGTTCTTGCAGGGTAGAGGGCTAAGAAAACTCCTGATTCTGAAATGGCTCCAATTCCAGAAAGACGAGCAGCTCTTTCAGAGGTTGGGGGATACACTCCAAGCAGAAGGGACATACAAGAAATAGGTATGAAACAAGTTGGCTTCTTCAGAGAACTGCAAGGAGTGCGGTGTTTCCCCTCTCAGCTCCCGAGGCACCTTTCTTCCACCTCTCACCACTGAATTATCCGCTGGAAATGATCTCATATCCCGCCAAATCCTCAAAGTACTTCTCTTTACCTCATTATGGCCCTCAGAGCTACCTGTACCAGAGCATTCCACAGGGGCCACATTTCAGCCTCCATCCAACCAGTGAGGGCAAAAACTGAATCACACAACCCACAGAACATGGTACTTTGCCTACAGAATTTGTTTTTTCTCTGTTTACTTATTTACCAACATAACAATGATAAAGGAGTCTTAAGAGAAAAAGAAAACAAAATTCACATAATCGCTAATTCATTTTCTTATGTTCCCAGAGACTTTTGTTTACAACATGCATAAATTCATTTATTAAACCTGTACTGCTAGCAGGTTTAATAAATGATTTTAAAATAGTCAATGGACAGATATTTACAATGAAGCTTCTTTGAGGGTGAGTCTAGATTGAATTATATCATCTAAACATGATTAGTCATGACCACATTTCTGGACACATTGTCACAAACGTCATATTATTCAACCCTAAAACCAAACAGTACAGGGTGGATCACAAGGGAGGAAAGGCTGTTCTCTAACACGTTTCCACGCCCTGCAGATAGCAAATCTTAAAACGGTTTGCTTTTCTCGAAGTCTGAAGATTGCCTGGTCAGAATATCTCAATGGGACATTTTACCGCAGCTATGGGACTGCAAAGAAGCCCTCTTGTCCCTTATTAACTGTCTGCGGCTCCAGGTGATTTAAGGTAAAGGTATGAGCGTGGATTATTAGTCATCCTCCGTGAAAGCCTTTACAAAAGCACAGGATTAAGACCTTAAATTGGATTGGCAGCACCCGCTGAGGGAGCAGCACAGTTGAGTAATATGACTCCAGAATGAGTGCTATTCACAAGGAAAGAAAGGCCAGTTCCTGGGCCAACAGGGTCCCTCCTCCAGTTCCCGGGGTCGTCTTTTATCATGAGTGAAGGAAGAATCCTTCTAACCTAGAAAGTCTGCAATTGGCAGCTTCTTAAAATTACAGAAACAATCTTCCTGATTATATCTTTTCTCTCTATGTATCTAAATCAATGACAGAAGTTTACTAAGATTATTTGGACAAAAACATAGAAAAGACAATTTCAGAAAATCTATTTTTGTGAGACTGACAGAGCCTTCATTTATGGAGATCCCCCTGCACTAGCTGCTTTCAAAACCAGAATCAGTTACTTGAGACACATGATCAACCGATGCTCTATCAAGTTGAAGAAAGAAGATCGTTTTAGAACTTGACTGTTTATTCTTCAAAATCACCCTGTACTTGATTCTGGTTCTAAAAACTCTGCAATCGCCTCTGACCAAAAGCATGGAAGATCTGAGTCGTTTACTGAGGGGTACTAGTGGATGAGACACCCAAGGCCATAAGCAGAGAAGAGAGAGAAGAACAGAACTCAGGAAACGCCTCCATTTAACGGTTGGGAGGGGGAAGAAGAAGAAACGTTAGCAGGAGAGACTGAGGAAGAACGAACATGGAGGTCAGGAAGGAAACCAGCTTACCGAGGCAAGTCCTCCAGCTGAAAGAATCCATCACTGGTTATTCCTAGGCTGGCCCCTACGCAGGAAAATGCAATACAGATCACACAGCCTGAGCTTTGTCTTGTGCAATAATCACAACATTTTATGCAAGAACCAAACACTTTCTCAGCCCTCACACTCTGCTTTGACAAGTTTTGTTAAGGTCTCCACTTGGGAAGCTGCCAACCAAATCTTTTCTAAGTCAACGTTTTTATTTTCTCTGTAGAAATAAGAGCAGTGATGACTAAATAAATATTAAATTTCTCTGAGGAACTAAGATCTTCTCAGCTCTCACAAATAGACTCTTCGCTGGCTCTGCTTCACTCTCCTGCTCCCAAATGTAGGCGGGAACCCCTTGGCTCAGCTTTGGCCCTCTTCTCTCTGCTTTTTTCTTCAAAGGTTTTAACCAACTCTCCCCTCATTGTGGAGGATTTACAAATAGATCGTTCCAGTTTTGACCTTCTCCCCAAGTTCCAGTTCCATATTTCGAACTGTCCTGCTAGACAATTCTACTTTGCTTCAAACTCAACATATTAAGAGTTGAGCCTTAACTTTGTGTTCCAAACCATATCCCTCTCGCAAATTTACCCCTTCCATTAAAGGGACCACCTTCCAGCAATAATCCAGACAAAGTCTTGAGTTGTCAATCTGATTCCTTCTCTCAACACCCCCCATATCTCATCAGTTACTAAAAATATTGTACTCTGCCAAATCCAAGGCACCATGATTAAAGGACATATCCTGATTTCAGAGGTGTTGTATATACTTTTTAAATGTGCCTTGGAATCAATGAAATACAGTTACTGATTCTCCCTTCTCTGAGTCTTTTATGCCTGTTCTCTTCTCTAGTGCCTGGCCTACAGCAGCGGCTCAGTAACTGCCTGCAGAACTGAGCGTTTCCATCACATTTCAGATGCTAACACTGTAGTGCAGAATGACATCATCACCGCCTATACATTCTATTGCAACAGCGCTCTGACTGTTCTAGAGTCTCCCTCCTCCTTAAGCCACTGTCAGATTAGTTTCCAAAATTATCACTTAGATCTTGTCACTACTCTATTTATAAGCTAACGATTATTTGCCCTAGTTGTCGTAAATTTTAGAAACTGTCTTAATTTGAATTTCTATGTCTCCACCATTTGGCCCTAACCCTCCTCCAGTCTCAGCCTGACGTATTCGCTTCTGGAATTTCAATGCTAGAAAAATTGGTTGAATTGGGTGAATGTCCTTCACAGACATCTTTATTATCTACTGGGTCTTGCAGTCTTCTTCCTCCTCAGCGCATAATATTCAAGCTGTGAGCCTCTTTCCTGGGGAGTCTTTTCATTTTATGACAGCCCATCGTAATCTGTCCCACCTCTGAGCATCCTAACTCTCACTGTCTGGCAATCACCTTGTGATATTTACCTTTTATTTTATTCCTTTGCATTTGTTTTTGTTTTGTTTTCAATTAGTAAATGTATACATTAAAAAATTCAAAAAGCACAACAGAGCATCTACTGAAAAGGAGGTCTCTTTCCCATCCTATCCTCTCATTGGAGGAAGTCAGCTCCACTGGGCTTTGACCATCCTTCTAGAGAGATTCTAGTGTACACATATAGGCTCCCTGACTTTTTAAAAAGAAAAATTGTAGCATACTATATGCAGTGTTCCACACCTTGCTTTTTTTCATTTAACAATCAATTTGGAGACTGTTCTACACCAAGATGCTTACATCTAATCTTTTGAACTAAATTTTAAGTTACTTGAGAACAGTATCCTCATATCTCTTACTGTAGGTGCTCTTTACCTTTTGGGAGACATCAACCTCCTTTAAAAGCTGGTGAAAATTTATGGATCCTTCTCTCCCAGAGAGAAAAAATGCATAAACGCATACACACTCAAAATTTCCCATATAAACTCAGGTTGGTCATGAGTCTTATGAAGCCAATCCATAGAGAATACAAAAGATGTACAAACTATAACCACCATTCACAAAGACTTTATAATCTAGTTGGGGAGAAAGACATAGACAATAAGAGAGAGTAAGGCATTATGTTCATGATTCATCCCTGTGTGTATAAAATGCAAAGGCAGATATGACTACCTCTGAGTTCCTTACTGCTTTAACTTTACAATTCCATACATGAGAGAGAAAAATATGCATATAAAGAGGACTTAATCAGGTAATTAAGTTATATCCTTATAAGATTTCTCTCCCTTAAACAAAAGAGTAAATATATCATGTGTCTTGTAAATAATAACCTCTGGAAATAATCTCTAACCATGCTGAGAAGGAAAGGATGAGGCTGTCGATTTTTCTCTGTGTTACCTACAGTATGTATGAGCTTGGAGCTGGATGAAATATCTTTCTTTGTCCCATCACTAGGCACCACTTAAGCCAATTACATTTAGGTTCTGCAGAGACTTTCTCTCATGGCCTTGTCCAAGGAAAGAACTGGTATAGGCAGATCCCTTGGCATGGCTCATAAGGTTGAAAACAACAGTAAACTCCTTCTGTTATTAACGAGTATGTGCTTTTGGAAGACTCACCGGGGATCTCGCTCTCCTGAGGACGTGAGGGCATGCCACCTGTGGCAATCAGGATGTGGGGAGCGGTGTATTTCTTCCCATTGACCTCTATTGTGGGCTTGGGATCAGACGTGAATGCTGCACGGCCATGGATGATTTCTATATGGGACTAGAGAAGGAACCACGACATTAGCCTGTTCTTAAGATAAAACAAAAACACCTGATAACTTAATTCAGAACCAAGCGTGTTCCAAAATGTTAAAACATTCTGTTCTGTGATTGGGCTTACCTGATTCCATTATCCTTGTAAGTTGCCCACATTTGCATGCCAACACAACTTATCAGATATTTCCATTTCTCCACTGAGGATTTCAATCTTGGGTTTGCTAATGCCAAGACAACTCTCCAAGGTTCAAGTTTCTGCAGAACTTCTGACTGTTAATTGACACTTTGGAAAGGGGGTTACCATTGATGCTGGAAGTGTACAGTAAGAAAAAACGAAGGTGTTCTCTTGGGCCAAAACCCAAAGACGAAAAATATATACGCCAGTCAACCCCAAAAGGAAAAAGATTACATCTTTGCCCCCAAGAGTTGAGGGAGAAAGTCTTCCTCACTTGCAATGAAAACACAGCGAAGAATGACGTGCCTGGAGGAGGAACAGAAGGCTGAGAAAGCAAAGAGGATAAAGGTCAAGAGAGTTGAGGTAAAAGAGAAAGACTCTGGCCAAGGGAGGGAAATGCAATGCTTCTGTTTTCTTAAACAAAATGGGAAAAATACCACAAAATCACATGACAACGAAATTCTACACTCGAGATGTTGAGAACTCAGACTCTGACTTGCTCCTACTGGCATCCTCTGTGCCAGGGCCTCGATGTGGGGATTGCCGGCCAGCTTCTGCCAGCCATGCTACATGTATTGGCCTGCAAACGTGGGCAACTTACCAGGATAATGGAATCAGAAGCACAATCACAGAACAGAATGTTTTAACATTTTGGAACGTGCTTGGTTCTGAACTGAGTTATCTCCTCCTTTCCAATCACCCCACCAGGCTTGTTCTGCAGGTGCCCTGCTTAATCAGGCTGAATCACGATCAATGCCAAAAGCCATAAGCCACCAGAACAACCTTCCTGCAGGACATGATTTCCTATGGGGTGCCAGACAAAAAGAGGTATAAGTCGAGTGGCAATAATATACATAATAGCTTGGGGGAAGAACTGATGAAATTTTTATTTTCATTTTCTAGGATATTTGATGGAAAGTTTCCTTTCCTATTCAGAATTTCTGGATCAACTGTAAGTAATTGCTTTCCTATAAGGTCATAGTAAGTTCTACTACACATCAAGATTTGTCAGCATTAAAAAATGCTGCTTCCTGAATAATTTTCCTATCTTTTGCAAAAGTATTTTACTAGCTCCATTTAAAATATTTTTGATGTGGGTGTTTTATCATAGCAAGTGGTATCTCTATACTCATGTTTAGCAGCCTTAAAATCTCTTGTCATCAGCGTATAGGGGACTGAAGGCCCCCAAATATTTTTCCCTTGAATTGGGAATTAAGGTCAGAAAATATCACCCTTCAAGAAATAAACTGAATGCATAAGAATCAATATAAAAATATATGAGGTTAAGCCATCTGTAGAAGTAACTCATCCTAAAAATTGGCTTATAAATACACTGCTAATGAGATTATGGTGGGCCAAATATCATCCAGAATCTACTGATCTAAACATAACCTAAGCTATGTTGAAATCTCAGAAACCACAAAGTAAGACCAAAAAGGCAAATGAAGGGTGATGGGATATACGCTGTCAAGAAAAAGGAGACTTGGATGGTGCACAACTTGTCATTGTCTCTAGCACTGTCCCGGGTGGAAGAGGTATGACATCTAAGCACTAAGGCAGAAAAAGCCTCAGAATAGCGAAGGACAACATATATTTGCTGAAGGGAAACACACCTTTGCTCAATTTTCTTCATCAGACTTCATTCACAAAACAACCTTCTAAACCATAATTTGGTCTCCTGAGTAGGTCTAGCCACCAAGGATGAGGGTGCTCTGAGCAAATGAACAATGGCAGGTTTCCATTCAAATAATGTGCCTGATTTTAATTAATAAACTGGCATACTCGTGTGTAAATTAGTCTCCTATGTATTTGGTTTCTGGAACCAAGTGGAAGCCCAGACCTACTCAACGTACAGCCATCAGGTGAGACCTGGTTTACCAACTTTGGCACATGCTGTCCACTCTCTGTAGAAAAGAGACTGGCCTACTGAGTCAGAGGCTTCTGCTCTGACAGGTCAACCTCAAGATCACTGATTGCAAAAGAAATAAAAGAAACAATAAAAGATACTGCAAAGGCAATGTTTTAGTCTGGCCAGACTTGGCAGCATACTCCAGCAGAGAACAGCTCCTTCTCAAAGTTCAACACCTAGCATACTCACCTTGGTTAGATTATTTTGATAGATGGTGTTCAGGCGGCTCACGTAGGCATCCCGCTTTTCCTTTATAACGCTGCAACGAAACTGGAGTCAGTACTGAGAAGCAGGGTTCTCCTCTTTCAGTTAGCAACTAGGGCATCTGTCCCTGAACACCCCTGAGCAGAGAATCACAGACTGTCAATAGGAAGCCCACGAATGAATGTCTCTGAAGACAGTCGCCCCTTCCCCTGTGTCCATCTGCTTTCTCGTACGTAGAGAACCCTCATCCTACTCTGTGGACAACATTCAGTTGGCATCTACAGCTTGTGAGTTTATTGCTGCATAGAAGACAAGAAGAGTTGCTTTGGCACAGCACCTAGTTTGTGGTGGCCACTCAATATTTGTTGAATGAATGAAGGAATTTGCTAAAATTTTTTCAACATTTGATGGCTTCAAAAAGTGTATGGCAGTTCCTTAAAAAGGTAAACATAAAATTGCCATATGACCTAGCAATTCCACTTCTAGGTATAGACGCAAAAGAACTGAAAGCAAGGAACTGTAGACCAATCTTCACAATATCATTACTCACAACAGACAAAAGATGGAAACAACCCAAAGTCCACTGACAGATAAATGGATAAGCAAAATGTAATACATAAAGGAGTATCATTCAGCCTTAAAAAGGAATGAAATTCTGACACATACCACAGCACAGATAAACTTTGAAAACATTATGGTAAGTGAAATAAGCCAAGCATAAAAGGACAAATATTGTATAAAGTACCTAGAATAGGCAAACTCAGAGAGACAGAAAGTAGAGCAGAGATACCAGGGGCTGGGGGAAAGGGAGATGAGGAGTTATTGTTTAATTGGTACATTGTTTCTGTTTGGGATGGTGGAAAAGTTCTGGAAACGAACAGTGGTGATAGTTGCACAACACTATGAATATACTTAATGCCACTGAATTGACAACTTAAAAATGGCTAAAATGAACATTTTATGTTGTTTCTATATATATATATATGTGCGTGTGTGTGTATAAAATATATATACATTTTTAAAACCACCTTATTGAGGTATGATTGACATGCAAAATGCTGTACATAGTTAATGTAAACAACTTGCTGAGTTTAGCGATAAGTATACACCTGTGGAACCATCACCACAATCAAGGCCATAAGCATACCCATCACATTTAAAAGTTTATGTTGTATATATATATATCTTTTGTGTGTGTGTGAGGAAGACTGGCTCTGAGCTAACATCCATTGCCAATCCTCCTCTTTTTGCTGAGGAAGATTGGCTCTGAGCTAATATCTGTGCCCATCTTCCTTTATTTTGTATATGGGATGCCGCCACAGCACGACTTGATGAGTGGTGCATTGGTCCACACTCGGGATCCGAACCTGTGAACCCCGGGCCGCCAAAGCAGAGCACGCAAACTTAACCACCACGCCACCTGGCCCCATATGCTGTATATATTTTACCACAATAACATCCCCCCAAAAAGATTTATGGCTCATTTAATTATGAAAAAAAAATATTTATATCTGAAAATCAAACCCCCTGAGCACGAACACTTACCGCCAATTAAATTTACTCTCACAAGTTTGAAAGCCATAATCAACGTGATCATGCATGAATTCAGAGTGGACAGCTGTGTTCCACATTACCTGGAAGAAAAAAAGGTACCCAAAACATGAGTCCTAAGGGAAAAGAGAAATCATGAATGAAAGTTAACTACATAATAGCAGATAAAAATACTGAACTTTAAATTAAAAACAAAACTAAACATTTTAAAAGAGAAAGTTCAGAAATATGACCAGATAGATTTTATAGGGAGGCTTTTGAAATGTTGGGGAAAATTACCTCTACTGTTAAATTCCCTAGTTTATAAACTCTATAAAAGCAGGATATTATAAGCCTCATAGTCCTTCCATTAAGCTTATATTCTCTTTTTAAGTCTCAGATTTCTTGAAGCCATGCCTTTTGTGATCAGTTCCAGGAAATGGAATTGCATCTGTAACTTTACAGTAAAGCGATTCAGAAGGAAACTATTAGATAAAGCTGAGGACTAAAAACTTAAGAGAATGGATTCCTATTATGTATTCAGTAACTACAAACATGTCCTTCTAAGGACATATGTAATTAGACATCTGGAACTCAAAGTTTCGATGCAGCTCTTGTGGAATGTAGCCTATAATCTGTAAAGGCCTTTTATGCCCACTGATCATCATGATAACTGAATTCAAACTGGCATCCAGAACTCTAGATGACAGACAAACTGCCATTTTTCTTTGTCAGACAAACCTGAGACTCCATATTTAATAAGCCTTAGATTCCTCCTTTGTACCCTTCTCCCTTTAGGCAGATTCTGGGTTCTGGTCTAAAGGGAGAACCCAGAGTCTGGGTCTGGGTTCTCTGGTCTAGGATTCTGTTTTTTTTTTTTTTTTATCATAGAATGAATGATTTTATCTGCTAGATTCTTTATCTTAAACAGCGCATATGAAAGATTTATCAATACCACAAAAAAATTATGTTCTTTTAAGCAACATCACTATACCTCATCTCATTATGAGGTACCATATTTATTTACTTCTAATTCGTATCATGAACAATGCTATAGCACCAAAGACACTCTGGAGAGGGTGCCTCTATATGAACTGCATTGGGATTTTAGGCTCAGACCTACTGAGGGTGGCAGCAGGCCCATCCATCTGGTTCCTTCTCTAACGCTGCTTCACTCTACCCTTCTGGAGTGGGGAGTTACTCTAGGCTTCAGTCTGTTCTTCTACAAAACTAGAAGCAATTACCAACTTCAAGAATGCAAAAGCACTCTAAAATCAGTAAAGCCCTATAAACATATAAGGTAGATGTCTAGCACATGTGATCAGAATAGAAGGAATCAGTGAAACAATATAGGGGAACAAAACATTACAAGCTCAGGCCACAATGCAGTATTAGACCAGAAGGTATTTTAAAATAATGAAGTAGCACCAATCAACACTGGATTTACTACCATAACTGGTTTAAATTACATAAAACCACTTTATAACTAATTTACATAATCCATAAATCCATAATTGCATGACTCTAAGTAGAACAGATTCCAAACTCTAGGACTAAAAGGAAGGAAAATAACTGAGGAAAATATCCCATAGAAAAAAAGAAATTTTCCTAAGACAGAAAAGAACCTACCTACACTAGGGAACACGTTACAGAAAACCTTTCTGGAATTAAACTCAGGTGTGTGTCACTGATAAGATTAGAATATTTACTTAGACGTGATACCAACACGCTGCCAATTTAAAATGTAATCTCAGTAACGAAAGGTTGTAAATTTGGGATTATAACATGTTTTGAAAGTACATTCAAATGAGGAGTAAAATCATTTGCAAATACAGGATAAGCCAGAGGCTTTTGGAAACAAGAGCTGCCACTGCTTCCTTTTTGTCACAGGTAAGAGATGAGTTCATTTAATATGAGCTGCACCACAGATATTAGGACCAAAAATCACGACAGTGGTCAAGCGACTCCATGAGGCTGCAGAATTGAATGGAAATACTTATTTGATTCCATTCAATAATTTGAATTGCCAGATAGGTCTCCCTATTGAGAAAAAGCAATCCTGTGCAGATGACCAGTCCTAATTACTAGGCAGATATAATCTCACTCACTCTAAACTAATAAGTCAATGTATTGTCTTATAAAACAATTCCTTGTGAAGTCAGGTAATCAATTCACTAGTCTGTCTGATCACTCCTGAATGAACTAATATAAACTTGAATTTATAGAACAGCAGAGACGGGGACTAGGACCCAAGTACACAGAAATTTATCCAGAGACTGCTTACCACAAGGTGTCCAAATACTGTACTCAGAAATGTTTATTCAGGCAAATTGAGAAATACAATCTAAGAATGGCCATGAGACACCCAAAGTCACATGATACATGATTTTAACGTGAATAATTTATAGGGAAATAGATTTCTGTGTTTAAAAACAAAACTACCACCAACAAAATAAAACAAACAAAAAACCCATGACAATCTTGACACATCGTTCCAGGAGAAAAATAGTTCTAGTCTCCCTGGGAAAAACTGCTTCAGAGATGCACTGGAGCAGGTGAAGGACCCGAGGGCTTGAGGCAAACATCCTACCCTCTGCAAAGTCACCCCAGGATTGCAGGCAGTCAACCAGAGCCATGTGTGGGAGGAGCATCCATCTGCCACCATCATACACCTGATCCTGGTCATATCAGCACTTGGGCTGAGAGTTGGGTATAAACTTTTTTATTTCCTGGCTACATCTCCCTATTGAGAAAAAGTTATCAAAAAACCAGATGGATAGTTTTCCACCCAGATGCAGACGGAAAAGTTTTCCACTTTTCTTTTATGCTATGACTATAGATATTTTGTCGATCTTTACTCCTTCGAGACCATCAGAAGTTTGGGATCAGACACCGTGTTCCATTTCTGGTTTACCTCCCCACTGTGGAGGTAAAAGTTCCCCCAAAGAGGAACTTTGTCACTATGAGAACTTACCACATGGCAAACATCCAGGATGAATGTCTTTTGCATGCATGATGCAATTAGCATCCAGGAGCTAATATTTCTGTGGTTCTCTCTCCAGCAGCCCCTCCTTCCCCTTCTTCCTAGCTGAAAATGCCACTCACTCACCCAGTCTCCCCTGCAGGAGTAGCTCAGTCCTGGCAGGAGAACCTAAAGCAATCTGCAGAGAGAGTGGTGGGTGAGGACATCCTACACGGAGCTCCAGGAGCCACCTTGTGGCCACAGGGGGAGAGGGAGTTACTGTTGACTACACACCTAGGATATCAGAACGGGAAGATGGAGGGAAGCCAGGGGCCTTTCAGATACCCTTAAGTGCTAAGCAAATCTCAGAAACTGCCTATCTCCAGGCTTTTTTTTTTTCTCCAGCCTTCTTAATAAGTGATATTTAAAAATACAAACAAAAACTATCCTATTGTCTAAGCCACTTTTAGTTGGTTTCTCAGTTATTTTTTGCAGAAAGATTTTTAACCAACACATTTGGAAACATCTTTCTTCTGATCATGATTTGCCAAATATGTAAAAGAAGTGTGGAAGGAATAAGAAATAAAAACTCTACCTTTTTGGGTACACATCCGACATTCACCTAGGAGAAAAAACAAAAAAGGACATATTTTAAAAATATTAAACTCAAACCATCAAACAAACCTATAAGAAATGAACCCTAAGCACCAACCCAGGAGACCTCCTTGAGTTCTAAGTCACCATCTACAGCTCTGTACTTCCTTTTTTCTATTACAGAGTTAGAAGAGATATGAACATTATTTTTCTTATATGATGAGGCAGAGATTTTACTCATCAGCACTTTCTTTAAAAAAAGCAGTCAGAGAGAGAGAAAGAGAACAATTCCATTTCCAGAGGGCTGTGCACTGCAGAGATGGTACAGGTCAAAAGATGCCAGAAGCCTGAGCACGCAGAGCCCAGAGGGAGCAAGCAGGAGAGAAATAGCAGCACGGAGGTGAGAAGACCCACCAGCTGAATTAAGAGCAACTGAACCATCTGAGCAGCTGTCCTAGAGGATTTCTGGGGAACTTACTATGCAGCATGCTGGGTAAAACAGCCAGAATGTCCCCTTCCCCTTTGAGAAACCTCTAATGGAAATCTACATTCTTCTTCAGGACCAAATGAGGATGATGAATCAAGCTGTTAAGGTTCATTCATGCTATTTTATATATATATATCTCCATGCTTATATACTTGCTAAACATAGACCACAAATTCGACTCTTAGCCTTTTAGCAGCCAATACACAAAGGAAAACACAAATAGTTGTAAGATTTCATGTAAAAACTAACCAGTTGTTTAAGAAAATAGCTATTCATACCCACGAGACTAGAGAGAAATTCCTCCCAACGGTCCTTGTATACAAGCTGTGATGTATATGCTTACACACAAATTTTTGTTTACAGCTGTTTATTTCCTTTTGATCATATCCTAAAATTTATAACTTAAAAAAAAACAAAAAAGCTGAGTCAAGAGTAAGTTTGAGAGGCCGGCCCAGTGGTGTAGTGGTTAAGTTCATGCATACCGCTTCGGCAGCCCAGGGTTTGTGGGTTCGGATCCTGGGCATGTATCTACATCACTCATCAAGCCATGCCACAGATGTTAGCTCAGGGACAATGTTCCTAAGCAAAAAGAGGAAGACTGGCAACAGATGTTAGCTCAGGGACAATTTTCCTCACCAAAAAAAAAAAAAAAAAGAGTAAAATTGATTAAAACTGCCTTGAGAGTGAAGAAATTTGGACTTGGCTGAATGGGTAACCAGTCAGTGTACCCTAGCAGACGAGCTGGTTGCAGAAGGAAAACTAGATTGATCTTACTCTTTTGAATGGCAAATTACAGACCCCTCAGCGCTGGAGACCTGTCACCTAATGTGTATTCCAGATATCGTTACCCTTATGAAGGCTGACTGGGTGGTGTTGCTGATGTTTTGGCCACTATAATAAAGTTATCAGACTTAAATAAACAAGGTCTCAACTATATATCCTTAAAAAAATGTCAGTATGTTCACTGTTCACTCATGCTTATTGGCACAGAGTGAATATTTAGATACTGGTGAATACTCACCAAAAATATAAGGTAGATGGCACGGAACTTAGGATGTTAATCAACCATTAGCAAAGAAACTTAAGAAAACCTAAACGTATGTTAGATCTCATAAACACGACTAAGCATTTAGCGTAAAGGCGTAACCTAAGATATAGAAAAGCTAAATGCACAAAGATGATGTTATTTAGGTATAATCATTTCTCTACTGTTAGTTATCATATAGAAAAACATTTATGTAATAAAAGTGAAAAAAGCAAGATTCAATAGAAAACTACATTTTAAAAGATTAAAGATAAAAGATAATCTAAATAATTAAATCTACTGGTAAAAATACAAAAGATGGACCATACCAGTGTTAGAAAGCACATACCATTTGGCCCAGCAATTCTACGTTTAGGACTGTATCCTACAGAAATAGTCACATATTACGCTCAAGTGCCCAAAGACACACGTAGAAGGACGCTCCCTACAGCACTGTCACAGTGAGTAACTGGAAACAAGGTAACTGTTCATCAGTAGGGAAGTATGACCGTAGGGAAATTATTGTACATTGAGCCTATGGAATACTCTGCAGCCATTTAAAAGAATAAAGTAGATTTCTATGTGCTGTTACTGAAAGAGTTGTAAGATATAATGTTAAGTGACAAAAAGAAAGCTGCAGAACAATATGTATTCCACGTTTCAATTTGCATTTATATATTTGTAAATATATACATGCATTTAAACAGCTGAATCAAATACTCCAAATTGTCAACAGCAGTCATCTCTGGGGAGGGAGAAAACTTTCGTATTTTATCCTATACTCTTTTTATAATAGGAATACTGTAATTCATTACTTATATAATTCATTTAGACAAAGAAATAAACCAAAATGATTTGATCTGGGTAGTGGTATTTAGATAGGTGATTCTTTGATCTTTCCTATTTTCAATACTTTCTATACAAGAGCCCCCCCTTATCCATGGTTTCAGTTACCCACGGTCAATCGCCGTCTGAAAATAACACTACATCACAATGCCTAGGTCATTCACCTCACTTCATCTCATCACGTAGGCATTGTATCATCTCACTTCATCACAAGAAGATGCGTGAGGACAGTACAGTAAGATATCCCAAGAGAGAGAGACCACATTCACGTAACTTTTATTATAGTATATTGTTACAATTGTTCTATTTTATTATTATTTATTGTTGTTAATCTCTTACTGTGCCTAATTTATAAATTAAACTTTATCATAGGTATGTATGCATAGGAAAAAACACAGTATATATAGGGTTCGGTACCATCCATGGTATCAGGTGTCCACTGGGGGTCTTGGAACGTATGGCCTGCGGATAAGGGGGAACTACTATAATACAATTATTTTTCCTTTATGTGTAAATATGCCCAAAGAATACAAGCCTACTTCTTGCAGCAGAGTATTTTCTGGGTGTCCTATGGTGAAACCTGAACCACATATGCACTTGGCCAAGGGACTTGCTATGAAACGCTAGATTAAAAGGAACTTGCCCAAAACTCATTAAGATGGCAAATGTTTGAAAAAGAAGGTCTTACTGAATAGTAACCTTCTATTCCTCCAGTTGTTCCAAATGCTATTGGCTAACAACAAACCTGCTACAAATTCGTTATAATCTTATTATTTGCTACTATTCTGCACTCAAGAATTAAAAAGGAGTGAGTTATGTTTCTACATAATCTCAAGTTATCAGTAATTTGAGATTTTTTTTCCTAGAAAGAGATGGGTCATATACTGTCTAGTTGTGGAGTTGGATTTTTTTATGCGATTATGCTACAATAAGGATTCATCAGGCAACAGAAGCAGGAACTCATAGGATCAAGAGAAGGGTGCAGAATTCAAGCCTAATAAAATAAAGGAATCAACACCTCCAGCAGCATGACAAGCACACTATTCAGAAAGTACTTTATATTAGCAATTGGAATAATTTATGGCCTTTTACCCAGACTGCCTCCCATCGAACTGAGCAGAGGATATGTTATTTCTCAACCCTTGATATTTGACAGTTATGGGGATAGATGGAATGAGCCAATTCTAAGGAAGGAGGAGGACAGGTGTTTTCTCTGTGGTGGAACAGAGGAAGGCAGCTGAATCCCTGTGGGAAGAGTGATCGCAGCCCCTTGGTGGGGTTGATTTTATCATCACACTTGCCTTTTCCAGTTCATTTGGCAGGCAAAGTGCTTCCCAGTCCCTCCAATCCACACCTTCGGACCCTGCAGTTTGCAGCTTAAGTTCACTGAGAGGCTTCAATTAGGACAGACTCCAAAACCAGTTTCTTCAAAAGCAGAGATGTTTTCAATATATTAAATAAACAGACTCCGCCTGTCTGCCAGCCAACCTTTTCCGGCTTCCCAGGAACCTTTCAAAGCAATTCAAATGGTCATAAGGCACTAAATGTTCTGAACCATTCTCATACATCATCAATTTACTCCTCATGTACATTTGAAGCTATTTCAAAGTTATTCAAGGCAATTAAAAAAAAAGTTTGGAATGTGCTGCTTCTAAGGACCAAGATAGCCTGACTCTCACTAATGTCCAAGTGTATGACTAACTTTCGTTTATTTTTTACAAGTTTCTGCCTTTTTGGCTTCTAAAATTTTTTAACTTGCAAGCATTCATTCATTCAGAAGTATTGGCTAAGCACTCACTCACTTGTGCCAGGCATTATGCAAAGCAGAGCACTAAATGGATATAGTCCCTGCTCTCACGGAACCTACAGCCCTAACCAGAGAGATTCTCAGCCTATCCAAGACCCTGACTCAAAAGGCAGCAGCAGAATCACACTACATTCCTAAAACTGCGGAGCCTTGGGCCAGAAATTAGAGGAAGAAGGTGGTGGAAAATTGTGACCTTTTTGGGCCAGAGAATCCGTCTTCTAGCACAGCACACTTTGGGTCCTGGTTGAGAGGAAGCCCATGGCCCTGAGACACTACTGGTCCTACTTCGGCAGCTCCGAGTAAGTAAATGCCTCCAGGGGTTTCCGCTGGTTTTAGAAACCTAGTTACCCTTCAGCACAACACAACTGATTATCAGATGCCTCCAACTTGGAAAAGAAAAGAACAATTCGTTACCTACAAAGCTGGGGAAGCCAGGGACGGAGAGCTATGTACAGTCATGCTCAATGCTCTTCCCCTTTCTCTAGCTGACATGAGTGTTAGTTTGTTGGAGAGAGCACAAGCACAGTCAGACAGAGATGAGTTTGAATCCCAACCCTCCCACTTACTGGCTATTCTAAATCTCTCTGAGCTCAGTTTCTTACTCCATAAAATGAGAATAATACTTACATTAGAGAGCTTTTGAGAAGATAAGCGATAATGTATATAAAGCACCTATTTTCTCATTTATAGATCTGATGATGACACTGACCCCTCTGAACTATTTCTGCAGGCTGCCGGCTCCCCCTGTGCACAAAAGGCAGATGGAAAAGAGAGGAGATCAATTCCCTCGGCGGCTGGCTCCCTTTCAGAAACAGATCAACTGATGGCAAAGAACACGTGCCTCCCAGACTGGGGCACCAAGAC